TGATCTCCGTGTCTGGTGGGATCCCAGGAAGCTCATCCGAGAGGACCTCTGGAAATTCATTCACAATTAGCACAAACTCAAGTGTAGGTACCTCAGCATCGGCGTCCGTGACTCGGACCAAATGATAAATATACCCCTTGTTGATCATCTTCGCGTCCTTAAGGTAAGAAATAAACCTACCCTTCGGCATAACATCATCTACCTTCCACTCAATGGCTGGCTCATTTGAAAATTCAAACTTAACAGTTCAGGTTCGGCAATCAAGCTTGGCATAACATCAGTGTAGCCAGTCCATCCCCATTATCATATTAGAATCCACCATCACCAACTCAATGAGATTGGCCGTGGTGTCTCGACCGCGAACTATGACAATACAATCCCTATAAACCCGCGTAGCCACAATAGACTCACCAACATTAGTAGATACAGAGAACGACTCGTGAAGTTATTCCTGTTCTATCCCGAATTCCACAGCAACATAATGATGACATATGAAAAGGTGGAACTAGGATCTATAAGTGTATACACATCATGAGATTGGATTGTCAGTATACCCGTGACAAAATCTAGAGAAGTCTCTAAACTCTGGTGACCCTTCATAGCATAGATATTACTAGGTGCCCCCGAACTCTGTTCACCAAATCTAGTTGGACCACGCCCTGTGGGTGCTAGAGTACCTCGGGCTGGAGGAGGTTCCACAAATGTAGTAGTTGTAGTTTTAGCTGGCTGTGCCATTCCCCTACCAACATTCTGACGGGACAAACTACAATCCCTCTAAATATGACCTCTAAGACCGCACCCGTAGCGTATGGGTAGTTCCATGTAGTAGCCCCCTGAATTCATCTTCCCACTCATAGAGCATGGGGGCCTCCGATGCGGCGAAAATCTCCCGCCAGGCTGACCCTGCTGGTAGGATCCCCTGATGCCCAGACTTGGCCTAAAACAACTCCACTGCTGTAGATCGAGCCTTGATGTCGGTGCACTGACTGAAGACTGAGCAAAGGACTGTGATGGCTTGGAAGACCCTCCCCTGAATAATAATATTCCAACCCTAGAAGAGCCACCAAAGTTGACCACTGACCGGGCCTTCTTGTTACCCTCTCGATCCATTCTATTCTTTAATATTCAGGCCTCTATGGCCTGAGAAAATGGTGCCAAAGGGCTAAGACCTGCACAAACATGGGAACCCTAGCCTCTAAAGTGGGCATCATGTAAGCACCATCCTTGGAAATATCGGCGAACCTCAAATGGTAGTCCCATACACTCATACTACCCTGCTTCAAGTTCTCAAACCCGGCGGCACGGGTTGCCCTAGTCTCGGCATGCAAGAAATGATCCATGAATGCATCCTCAAACTCATTCCACCTTCCCTAAAGACTCCCCCTCCTCATAGGGACTCCTCCCACAACTCAAACCAAGAATACGCCACTTCCTTCGGGCGATAAGAGGCATATCCCACTGCCTCTGTCTTAGTGGCACACATCACACGAAAAGTCTTATGCATATCATCAATAAATGCCTGGGGGTTCTCCTCGGGCTTGGTACTCGTGAATACCGGAGGATCAAACTGAAGAAATCTGTTCACCCTGGAACCAGTTGAATCCCCTTGCTGGCTAGAGGAAGCAGGTGTAGCATTCAACCTCTAGGCCTAGGAAGCCACTATCTGGGTCAACATCTATATGGCTCCCCTAAGGTCCACATCAGAAACACTGGGACCGGAAGTCGAGGCTGGGGGTGGGACTGGAATATCAGTTGGAGGAGGAATCATTGCACCCTCAGTAGGAGTATAAATCAGTGCAGTCTAAGCAGGAGTAGTATAATCAAGCGGCATTGTGGTAGGGGGAATATCCTCACCCCTCAGGTTCTCAACCGAATCATCAGGTATAGTATCATCAACCACTCCATAGGGGTGTCATTGGCTACCTTCATCCATTAAAGATGCAGCGTCACCGACAAAAGGGACGTTAGTACATATGGAATAGTACTAGTATGTAAAACTAAACACCCTCTCAATAAAACGAGAAATAGTAAACGGAGAATAAAACATGAAATCAATAAGAGGCTTAGACAGTATCAAGGTGTCAATTTAGGGGAAAGGTAAATTTCAAGTAAGTTTCGATAATTTATTTTGGGAGATCTTTAGCACTGATACACCACCGTGTTTTAGCACGAAGATTTATCTCAGCTCAACCGGCTAAACCGGCTCACCCCGAGACATACACTCACAATACCACCATGTGATTGGCATGGTATCCGATCTCAGCTCGATCGGCTAAGCCGTCTCACCACACTGCCGTGTGGGTCGACATCACATCACATCTCGCTAGCAATAATCTCATCCCATTTAAGGGAACCATCTCAACACACCAATCTCATCCCATATAAAGGGAAACAGTCTCATCATATTAACACGGAGATTTACCCCTCAATCACTCATACACCGGCACGTGTAGTTTCAGGGTTAGGTTGTCTCGACCTACCCTTCCTCGGTGGCTAAACGATACTCCCAAGGCATTTATTATTAAAAGGATTTACCACTCATTTCATATTCTTTTAAATGTCATTCATTTTATTGGCACCATTGGCCATAACACAATATCATCATTGGTACGTTAGCCGTACCTTACTATTTCACTTTCAAACATTATCACGGATTGTCAACAACAAACATTTCTATTCAAGACTTTAAGCACATATTTGAGCAATTTAGGGTCTTAGGCACATGTGATTTCTTACACAGTTCGATATGATCACTTTCATTTGGGCTTGACCTGAAGTCACAACATTTTAATACATACTCATACTTTGAACACGCTCTCGAAGAATAACATAATATGATATGAATATTTCGAAACACATTTTGAATATATTCATATATATACATCTTTCGACACCAAACTTATTCAGAAAAGTCAATTCATATTGGACAACTCGAGACTTACAAGAACATCGTGGGAATTCAATTCTAACAGGGAAGTTTAGCCAACATACCTTGCTTCGAGCTTTTTAAATTACTACAATATTTTGGAAATCTTAGCCATTTCGATCTATTTAGAGATATAGCAAAATTGAACACAAATTAGGAAGGAGTTCATAGTTCCAGCTCACTTGAGCATTTTATCAAACACTAAGTGTGCATTAAGGTTTCTTTTTTTTTTGGCAAATCCACTGGGCAATGTACCTAGGGCTAGTTTTTATATTTATAAAGAAAAAATAAAATACAATGTATCATGAAGTCCTACCAAATGATAGAGATAAACCTTGACAACTACATATATCCTATTATCAAAGTTGAGTGAGATAGTCAACAATGATAGTACATGAGGTCTAATATAGTTAGTATAAACAAAACCTAGCCCTTGAAACCCGTTACATTTAATGTCCAGCTGTGTTGTCCGCTGCTTGCACAAATAGCCCAATTCCTTAATGACCGCTGCCCAGTCCCGCTGTTTGCACAAATAGCCCACTCATTTTTTATAACTAATAACCACTGTCCAGGATAGCCTCCCTTGAGATTGTACCATTGTTTGTATTGTGTTTGAATTCCAGCTCCACAGTATCTCTTTCCAATAGCTCATGTATATGTGCCTCTCATAAATTTTAAAAAATGCACTGTCCAGACTGTTATTACGCTTATTTTTGCTTGACCTCCCTCGACTATCTCTTGAAACCTTTGCATGAATTCCTTCTTGAGTTGGCCTAGTAGCATGCTACATCAAGGTTTTAGCCCATTTTGTATCCAATTTGGCCATAGTATATTGCCAAAGGAGCCATAGTGAGTGTACTGTCCAACAGTGTTCAGCTACACTGTTTTTGTATCCAATTTCGTGTGTTGTTCCTTTGAATCTTGTTGAAAACTTTGTGTGATATAGTTCCTGGGATACAGAGTTAATGAAATGCAGTGAGGTTTTGGTCCACAATGCTCTCATCGATCCCTTGTTTGAGCACCACTATCCCACATCATAGCTGAATATCGAGCACCTGGGCAGTAGATTTTTTTACCGAATGATTCTTCTGGTGTGAAGGTTAAGCTGCCTTGTATTCATATCCATCATCTGACAAATGCAGATGACATTTTGGGGCATTGCTTGATATATGCAACTAGCACAGAGTTCCAGTTTAATCCATTTAAAATCACCCTGCCCATTATCCTCCTTAGCCTTCATGCTTATGCTTACTATTGATATTTTTCTGAGGGAATGAGCACTAGGTGCTAATACCATCCTTTGGAGTCGTATCAATAAGTAAGGCATGTCCACAGTAATGTTTCCTATAAAAAAGAAAACTGTGTTAGTGTAAAAAATCATCACCATGCTCTTCTCCATAAGGATTGGAACATGGCGACTGACTGTGTGATCTCCAGCAGAACCATTTGCACCCTCTGTAGTTCCTACTATGTAGCAGTTTTGCGTGAGGGTTGCGTGTATATTCCAGTGTTGTTCTGCACATATTTTTGCCTAACTCCATGTATGTACTGTTGAAGTAATGAAATGCAATGTATTTTTAAACCTCAACACACCCCTTGATCCCGTAGTTAAGAGCCTATATTGCATACTTCTCATGCAAATTCTGGACAGCCTGCTCTTGTAATTCCATTGGCTTCACTTCTTACTAGGGCTGGTTACATTATGTAAAACAAAATAGAGCTCTTCTATCCCTAGCCCTAGTATACCTCTATTATCCTTAGCTTCCATGTTTGTGCTTATCCTTGATTCCCCTCCAATGGAATGAGTACATAGTACTAATACCACTAATTGAAGGATCCTCGAGGAATAAGGCATGGTTACAGTAATTTGTCCTGCAAAAAAGAACCCAATGTAAGTAATAAACAAGTCCAACATACTCTCCTCTATCCAGATTTGAGCATGGTGGTAGTAAGCTCCATTCCTATTGGTATCACTTCTTCCCCCCCCCCCCCCCCCNCTTACTCGCAAATATGGACATAACCATTTGTCATTATTGACTATCCTTCTGCCTTATGGTTCCAGTTGTTCAAAAGGTTATGCTTCAAAGTCCCCATTATCAAGGGCACAGTTAGCTAGGTAATCAGCTAACTTATTGCCCTCTCTCATTATGTATGTGACTCTAGTATTGCTCCTTCTCATCAGCTCATTTATTTCTTCCAGATATGCAGCCACTGCCCATGGTGGATCCCAAGTTCCTTCTATCACATTCTTCATCAGCATCGAATCAGTTTGCACTAGGATGTTGATGTAACCATGATGCACACAATACCTCATGGCCTCCAGAATAGCAGCTGCTTCTGCTTCAGTATTAGTAGTCTCCTGAATCTCCTTTCCCCTTTCATACCTTATATCACCTTCCTCACCACGCAATACAAAACCAATCGAGCTCCTACCTGGATTTCCCATAGATGCCCCATCTGTATTGATTTTCACCCAACCATGATCAGGTAATTCCCACAGAGCCTTGGTCACTTTCAACTTAAGTGTTTGATTCTCCATTAAGAGTAATAATTCTGGACATTTATGAGGGATATTCACTAAGCTTGGTTTTCTTAGCCTCACCAACTCTTGAATTATGGATGAAATCTGGTATATCACCCTACTAACAGCTACTGCCTCCCCATTCTTATAGTTGTTCCTTCTTTTCTAGAGTTCCCAAACAATGATGGAGGGTAGAGCATGAAAAATAGGTTTAAGTCTAGGCACTACCTAGAAAGGCCAAGATTTTAATATTGCCTGATGCAAGGATAGTCGCTCTATGTTGATGCCTGCATTTGATAAGTATGTGTGACATTGTTTTCTCTGAAGAAAGCATAAAATAATGGCAGTTTAGAAGGCATAAAATAATCCAATCTTCTAAAGTAATCATCAAATGGCAGTTTGCCTTTCCAAACCTTCCACATGAAGAAAGCAATGTATCAAATGAGGCTTAATATTCTCAATCACACGTTGTGCCAAATATTGTGGAAGAATTTCCAGTAGCCTTTCCACATCCCACGAGCCATCAATGAGGACATCATATACATTGTGCACAGATTGAATCATTCTTGGTTGCTATACTATCATATGTTCCACCTCATCTCTACATTGAATCAGTTTTCTCCAAACATGAGATCCATTTCTCCAAGGGACCACCATTGCATTCAACTTTTTACAATACTTTTGAAAGATGAATGAGCTCCATAAGGTTGCCTTTGTCATGAAGTTCCACCACAATTTACAAAATAAAGCCTTTGAAACATCATGTAATGATCTAAATCCAACTTCACCCTCCTCTTTTGGCAAACATAAGGTATCCCATGACCCCCAATGTTTAGCCCTTCCTCCCACAGAATTACTCCAGAAAAAAACGAGCAAACATTTTATGAAGTTTATTAATGACAGAGGGAGGGGGATTCACTACTGATAATAGATGGATTGGCATACTTTGAAGCACATGTGAAATCAGAACTGCACGACCACCAATAGAAATAATCTTGCCTTTCCAAGATTAAAGTTTGTCGGGTACCTTAGTCATAATTCCGTCATAGTAGTTCATTCTCCTCCTTGCATAGAAAATTTGACATCGAAGGTAAGTGCAAGGAAACTCCTATTTGCCTATTCCAGTAATCCTTTGCACCTTATTCAATACTTCCAAACTTGTAGAATGATGCATGTAAACGGCTGATTTTGCCTTATTGATTAGTTGTCCTGAGGCCACTTCATAAGCACTCAAAACCTCCTTGATTAGTTGTAGTGAAGTGGAATTAGACGATGAGAAAATAATAGTATCATCAGCATAAGCTAAATAATTAATCTTTGGACTCCATTTTGGTAAACCAAAACCACGGAAATAAAGGTTTAAGTGTAGAGCATTCAAACCTCTGGACAAAGCTTCAGCAGCTAATATGAATAGTGTAGGTGACAGTGGATCCCCTTGCTTGACTCCTCTAGTGGATTTGAAAAATCCATAAGGCTGGCCATTAATCAACAGAATATCAATTGTTAGACATAATGCCAAACACTACACCAATAAACCTATCTGAAAAGCCCATATTCCTCAACACTTTAGTCATAAACAACCATGAAAGCCTATCATAAGCTTTTGTCATATCCAATTTCATCACTACATTAGGTCCTGACCTTGTTCTTAGCCTGATGTTTGTGATGATTTCTTGCGTCAATAGTACATTCTCAACTATGCTCCTTCCCTTAACAAAACCTGCTTGTTCATCTGAGATTAGATTAGGCAAAATAGGACAAGCCTTTCATGAATTACCCTAGAAAATACCTTGTTGATAAAATTATTGAGGCTTATCGGTCTCCTATCTAAGAAAGTAGTAACTTCCTTCTTCTTAGGCAACAGAACAAGGTTCGTGTGGGTAATAAATCTTGGGAGCTCATCACCATTGAAGTACTGTCGCACCATATTAAGTACATCATTACCTATTATATCCCAGCAACTATGGAAAAACTTCCCTGTAAATCCGTCTGGTCCTCCTGCACTATCAGCATTTAAGCCAAAAATAGCATTCTTGACCTCATCTTTTGTAGGTTGTTTCACCAACTCCAAGTTCCGCTCTTCGGTTACCATGTCAGGTACATGGTTAATAATTCAAAAAGCAGTAGGTATAACATCCTCACAAATTTGAGCTTGGTAAAATTTCACTACTTCTGCTGCCAATTGGACCTTCGATCCAGTTATCCTCACTGTCTTTAATCCTCTTGAGTTCCAACCTTTTCCTCCTTCCTTTAACTTGAAGGAGCTAAATATTTGATTAGTTCAGCCTGCACCTTGTGAAGCCTCTCTCTATTGAGATTTGTTGGATTAATTTCAAACTGAGCTTCATGTACAAGAACCACCTCTTCTAAGCTCAAGATCTTCTAAAAAATATCCCCATACATAGCTTTACTCCACACTGATAATGCTCTCTTCACCTTCTTCAATTTGTGATTGAAAATAATGAAAGGGTTAGCACTGAAATCCACCTTCTAGTTCTCTTTTACCACATTCTGAAATGTAGCATGGTCTGTCCAAAAATTAAGGAATCTAAATTGCTCCTTGATTGGAACATAATTTGGATCACAAGTCATTATTAATGGACAATGATCTGATCCTATTTTTGACAAGTGAGTAATCTCCACACCTGGAAACAACTGTTGGAACGCCATATTTGCCAACACTCTATCAAGCCTTTTAAATATACAATCTTCTTCAGCCCTTCCATTCTACCAAGTATAGATACTACCCTTGAAGCCCAGATCATGCAAATTACTAGTAGTTACACAATGTCTAAAATCATCTATCTCATTTATATCTATTGGTAAGTCTCCAAACGTTTCCTCCTCATCCCATATTACATTGAAATCACCCCCCAACTATCTATGGAGTTGACATATCATAAGCCAATGCATATAAAGTGTCCCACAATTCAATCCTCTCAATAACATCGTATTTGGCATAAACTAGAGTGAGAATTAATTCCTACTGATTAGTAGAATCCACCAACCTTAGAGTCATTTGCTGCTCCATATTGACTAATACTGTGACTTCATAATCTTCATCCACAAAAGCCCAGGTCTTGTTTGAAATATTTACAAACGCCTGAGTAAATCCAATCCTTCTTCTGTACCTTTCCAGTTTCCTAGCTTGCTGCATTGGTTCTATTAGTCCCAGAAACCTAAATTATTTTTCTCTATGCATTGTAATTAGCCTTTCAAAGGCTTGCATTGTATTTACTGATCTAATGTTCCAAATCAATGCATTCATCATTAATTGGTAGGTTTGGAGATTGCCCTCCTTGTTTGAACTCATGTACCAGGAACATTAGTAATTTCTTTCAGCTGCTTTTTCTTACCTCTGCCTGCAGATTTTGCCTTGTCCATATGTCTAGGAGATAGATCACCCATTCGAGCAACATTCCTAATGTTCTGAGTTGTGGACTCTTCATCCATATACTTTTCTTTTCCCTCTGCATTTTCTGCCTCATCTGGTGCATGTGACTATTTGACCAGTTGAGTTTTAGCTAGTTTTAGTACTACTGCCCTGCTAGTAGACTGTTTAGCCACAAGCTGAGTTTTGGAAACTGCATGCTCACTTCCCTCTAATTCCATACCTTGTGTGTTATGGGTAGAGTTAGGTATATTTAGAATCTGATCTTGAACATTGGTAACTGATTTAGGATAAAAGTTTGGGATATCATGTGGTTTAAGAATAGGTTCAGTTCTGGATAGTTCTTTTATCTTCCCAGCTTCATCACGTTTTCCTTCCTTATTATTTGATCGCATCAATTCTTGATCATCCTCATCTTCCCCTATAAAGTGAACTCCATCCTCAGATTGTTGGTCATCAAATTGATCATCCCCACCATCTTTCTGCGGCTCTTCATCTCATTGTAAGTCACTCCCTTCGTCAGAATCATCTTCTACATGTTGACTCCATAATTTTCCAGTAAGTGGACTTGAATTAGCAAACTCTTCCTTGTTCGACTGATCATCCCCTTTACCTTGTACCACATATGTTCCTCCTTGTTCATTATTCACATTGGCAGCAATTCCCTTTGACATATCCTTCACAATATCCATTGGAGTATCAGAATTATCTTGAGTGCCCAAAGTTTGTGAAGGGATTTCTTGACATGATTGATTGTTAGTAACATTATTAACTCCAAAAGCTCGACTGATGCACTGAGATGTAGATTCTTTTCTTATTTCACTTCCTTTCTCCTTGCCCTTATCAACTTCCTTAATGTTTTCTTATTCTTTAGCAGCCCTAGTTCCTACTAGAGTAAGATTGTAAACCGGTGCAGCTGCATTTAATTATTTCCCAGTAGGGGTTGGATTAGGTTTAAGGCTGCAATGTGATGATTGTTCTACCATAGCAAGCTAATTGTCCTCATTCCCAATCCCACTCTGATTTGCATTAGTATTTCTAGGGTCAGAACTTCTTATCACCAATGCCAATTCATTGTTGTCCTCATTCACTCCATCTTCTACTTCCAAAACAACAAATTTGTTGGCTACTTGAATCTGTTGAGCTGCCACCTTTTCCGTTGGAGCCTGTTCCCTTGCACCTAGATTTACTGGAACAATTTCCTGTCCAGTAGCACCTTGTGTAGCATTATGCGTTGTAATATTTTTAACCCTATTGTCTCTTTCTTCTTTCCATTGATCCCCAATTTTACCAAAAACTTTACCACTCGATAAAATCATGAGTGGCTGATTAGCATTGTTCTTCTTCTGCCTATTTTGATCACACCGTGCCCATCTTGAACATCCTGTACATCTTGTTTGCCATTTTCTTTGTACTCCATTAATTCTGGATGAATCCGCCAATATTTCAAATCATCATGACCTTGTAACTTGCATGTCTTACAATACTTAGGAAGATAATCATAATTAATCTTTACCCATTCAGTATGAATTTCACCGGTGGCTTCATTTTCAATGTCCATACGCACTTTCTTTTGTAAATCTGCTAGAAGATCAACAAGAACTTTCACTCGTGCACAACTAGTTCT